CACACACACACACACATACACACACAAGCACACACACACACACACATACACAAGCACACACACACACAAACACACAAACCGACAAACAAACAAACAAACACACACTCACATACACGCACACACATACACACCTGTGGCTTTGAGGCTCTGTCGCTCTACTCCCAATACTTGACGACAAGACTCCAAACTAGCAAAGAACCATTCGTTATAATTCTGCCCCAGTACGTCTACTAACTCTATAGGCCCACTCCATGGGCCAGTGGTTTTATGCACCCCGCATAATTTAGCAAATATGATCATTTTTTGTATAATTTCTGATTATTCTCCTTTATCATTCTTTTTCTAAAATTAACAGAATCGCATAATTTCACATTTTTGTGCTCAGTTTGCATGATTTCAGAATTTTTCTTGCATAAAACGACGGGGACAGATTATAAACTATAGGTCTACTTGGCGCTTTCGAGATATGGCCAAACCAGGCAGCTGAGGCAACCCCGTCTGTGCACAGCGGGTAACGCTGATTCTGGCAACTATGAATATTTCCGTAATTACTAATCTATAGCGTTCAAAAAGCCGAAGCGGTTCCGATCATCATAGCTCTACTCTAATGTTAGCTATCGCCATGCCATGCACTCACTCTTTCAGCCTTAAGAGCCCTTTAATGAGCATCATTGTGTCGTTTCTGACTTGCTATTACGGCTCTTCAGTTCCCCTCACAACCTTTCTTCCGCGGCTCAAGGCGCTGTGAGGAGAGACCGCGCTCTCGCGCGCGCGTGAGAGAGTGTGAGTGAGTGAGTGAGTGTGCGTGCACGCGCGTCCAGACATGCAGCTTACCTTGGTTCCGTCCTGCCTGAGCCCACGAGAGGTGAGGTGAGGTGAGCCAGGCGTTTAGGCGACGAACCCCGGCGTTTAATGCGATGTGATCACCGTTCACCATCAGATCGACGCTGTGTGCTGTAGTAAGCTGCAGCAACTTGTAGATGTAGCGAATTCTTGGGATTTTCTTTGGCGTTTCTTCGACACTGTCTTGACTAGACCAACCGAGCAAGGAAGGGATAGATGGACAAACAATGCCATTTCTGTGGGTGACATTTCTAGATCTCTCCGTTTCCATTTTTTAAAATCTTTTTTTTCTGCTTTTCGGTAGATATTGTTTTTGTTGTTGGTGTTGCTGTTGTTATTGTTATTGTTTGTATTTTATTGTTG